ATAGGAAAAATGTTTTGAGCGTTCGAGTTTTAAATTTTTATGAATTTGCGTAACGATAACGATTTATCCTCAAACCAGGTATATGTTTATCTATGATATGAATATAAGGTATTATGAATTATGATAACTACATGCAATGTTTTTGGAAAAATTGATTAACCATGCCTTATGCAAAATGCGTCCTAATTGAAAAATAAAATATTTGTTTCAAAATAGAATATATGACAATATTTAAATATAATATATCCTGACAAATCATCTCCGTTCAGTATCATTTCTCGTATACAATGATACCTATCATGGCATTCAAATCTAACCTGCTCTTGTCAAAGGTCCACCCACCCCCTAATGTATAGCAGAGCGACATCCACTTACCCGCTTTTTTTGTTATGTTTATTGACAAGCAAATTATTTTTTTTTTTTTAAACATTTTTAATTCAATTTTCGAATGACAAAGAGTATCTAGTTTTAAATTTATTTAAAACTGTTTATTCAGAATAGTGCTATAATAGGCCTTTCATAATATTAAAATGGGGCTATGATGGTTTTGAAATAATTATATAGTAATGTAGTAGTAAATAATTTACTATAATTTTATAGTAATAATTACAAATAATAATATTAATCGATCAAAATTGATTGTATAATTTGTAAGCCGAGTTTAATTGTACAAAATTAAATATTAAATATATTTTATATTTTTGAAAAACCTTTTTTTATTACATTACCTTGAGAAAATCCATTTCAATAAGTCAGAAATTAGTAGTTCGAGTTTCTTAAAATGTTTTATATGGCCTGCTCGTGTGTTTTTTATCAAGGGATAATATTTAGGAGATATGCAATTTCTTTGCCATTGACCATTGCATTTGTGTTAGTCGTCTATGATGATTAGTGCTAGTGTGATTGTAAATTCAAAAACTGGCTATCCTCGTTACGCTGCATGCACCCACGCGTAACGTCGCCGCAACCCAAATCGAAAAGTGTGAATTTTTGCTAAAAACACGCTTTACAAGAAAAACGCTCACTCGTCGTCAAGTAGTCTTATTTTTTTTTTTTTTAGAAAAAGGAAAATTTTCCACAGGGTGTATTGAACTTTAATTTTTAATTTCATTGCTTAAAAAACAATCATAGGTAGTAAAAATAACAAAAGCTTGTAAAAATTGGCCAAATTTAAAATCTTATTAAATAGTTTTTGAAATACAGTTTTGAATATTCAAGTCCAATGGCCACGGTAGAAGTGTTTCGCTATTTAACGAATAAAAAAAATACTGAAATCAGATCACTCAACGAGGTGTGAAGATTTTTCTTCAACAAACAAAAAAATAGGTATGTGCACTGTGCAGCAGACCCATTAACAAAACCATATATTCAATAATTTTCAGAAAAAAATGATTATTAATTAAAATATTAATATGCTTTTATCTCAAAAACTTAACGACAAGATAAACTGAATCATCTYTGAATCTTCATAAGATTTTTTAGAAACGAGAGTTCTATTTATAAATAATATACAATTTAATTATTTAAATAACAGTATTTCAGTTTTTTTCATATTTTTAAAAATGTTGGTATAACCACAGAACACTTCTTAAATAGTACAAAAATATAAATATTTTAAAATATAGTTCTCGAGTATACACATAGATATTTTATACTTAAAAGTTCAAAAATTTATAATTAAAAAAATTGATTAGGTACTAAAGAAAAAACATGGAAAGGATCATATCTTACAAATCAATCATAATTCTCTCGCAAGTATAAATTGTTGTATACATGTCTACAATAACTTTCCAATCATTCAGAGAAATTCATTGACAAAAAAACAAAATACATGAAGTAAGTTGTACCATATTCTAATAATTTTTTTTTTTAAATTATTAATTAATTTCATTGAAATGTACCAATATTGCCTATACGTTGTGCCGTACGATACTAAAACAGTACTTGACTCTTGCTAGATAATAAAATATTATGGTGATGTTTGCAGCTATTCGTTTGATAATTCATTCTTTTCACGGAAGCACAGAGTTGAATTAAGGATATTAGACCCATAAGTTCATTAAGACTAAAGGTTTTTCGTCCCTTTTAAAATTTAATTAAATATTACTATGCCATGTTTTACATAAGCATTTATGTGTATGCAATACAATTTACAACTTAATTTATAAATAATTTATATTTACCTAATAAACAACATAAAAAATTTATTTTGAATGTCTAAAAAATGAAATATGAATCACCTTCATCATTTTACAGTCTCTGTTAATTTAATTTGGTTAATTGGTTTATATTTTATTATAATTGACATAGGTACTTGTCTTTTTGATATGAAACAGTCTATATACGAAAATAATTAAATCATTCACACGATTAAAATGCAACTGAATAAAAACTACACGATAATGAAAAAAAATAATCCTCTCGATTTATAGAATCAAAAATAGAGGTATTATTTTTAAAAATTCAAAAGTATTGATAATTCACAGTTTCTTAAAAATTGAATAACTTTAATATATTTATATTATTCAGTTAACATTTTGTAAGATATTGTCACGCATATAATATAGATGACCTAATAACAATAACCAGGTATACTATAGTAATCACTAATCAGTAATAGCTTACATTTTATAATTTTATAGGAATGTTATTTTCTAAATTATGATAAAATAAAAATGAACAAACCTAAAATATAACACTATTTCAGTTTTATCGATTTTAGTTTACCTAGTTCAGTTAAGTTCAGTTAGTGGGCAAATAATTTGACCGAGATGGACCATAGATGGATTAGATATAGCACTTGATATATTTTCAAGAGTAATTCAAACTATTTTCTAACCCTTTTTGATATTTCTAAAAATAATTTTTAAAACTTTTATCAAAACCGATTGAGTAGTTTTTTAGACTAACACTACAAACATAAAGATATTGTCTTTGATCTTTGGTTGTAAATTTGAATAACAAACAATAAATCCAATTTTGGGTTTATTTAAAAAAAAATACCATAGCAATATATGGCGGAGTGCTACTATAATTTAATTTCTGTAACTAAGACAATCCTTTATACACAAACAAAAAAAACTATTCGATTTTCTAAAGAATTAGGTATGTGAGTTCTTATCTATTGATATTATAATATTGGCTTGTCATCCATTTATTCAGCTCCATATTTGTTTGGAGAAGTATTGCCACTAAAAAATGTACCCATGTGAGATTCATTAATTTTGCACTAATATTTTCAATGTTTGAAAAGCAAAATCCAACTTGAAGGTGATTTTAAATATATTATTAAATATGTGTTCGACTCGAGTGTTCCTAGCAACTGGTTGACACCCCGGACTCACGTCAATCAGCGGATATGGCGTATATCCCATATATGTTTACCTACAAAAAAACCAACTTTAGTTTTTAATTTATAGGTTCTTATGTTACTTGCACAACAAAGAATATTATCTGAACAAAATGTATATTAAAATAATAACTCACTCAAGGGGATGGCCAAACCACCTGAATGTTAAATAAATATTTAGAGATCAATATAAAACAAAACAATATATTAAATAAGCAAATGACAGAAAATGTCATGAATTGCCAACAAAGATCAACTGTCCTATTTATATTACACATCTACACTTGTCGAGCTTACTGGGCGATGATGGATGATGACGGCAACCTGCACGGTGAGTTGATGAAGACAAATCTGATGAATGATGGCGAACTACTCTATGAAATACTCGTTAGAGTGTCACAACCACGACTAGGTTTCTCTATTTTGAACCGAGGTGGACACGTGAAACCTTGAAATCAGAACAAACATAAGATTCCAACGTTGACTGACCGAACTGGCCAGATTAGTTATGTGGAGTTGCACACAACGAAACGATTTCGTGAAAGTGTAGCACTATTAAATTACAGAAAAAATGGACACTGAACACGTGAGCTACAAGCAGACAATTTCTTGAACACGAACGAGCAAAAAGCCACGCGGCAGGTTAAGTCAGATCGAAGGTGGTCAGGAAAATCAATTTCTTACAAAAACAACTCTGTATTCACCGCCGTTTGTAATAACGGACGGCAGCTTAGCTGTAGCAGCAGAGATAGGCAGAGGAGCATCCGCTATCAGTCTGATCAAGATACTATTGACGGTGAAGTAGTGACAACGAGCTTTGAACAGTATGTTTGTAGGAAAAAGAGATTTTGAAATAGCACCTCATCCCAAACCCTATCAAACATTAATAAAAAAATACGCAGAAACAATATATTTTCTTTTTTAGACATACAAAAATGTTGGGAAAAAAGGGTAAGAAACTTGAAAGTTGACATGTGAAGATTTTTGGGCTTTCTACTTTTAGGAATACCTATGACCTGATTTTTTTTGAAAATTACTACGTTTGTAGGAACTATAGGAAGTATGCCAGTCTTAGAGCAGAATTAAATACAACTTACTGCGAGCTATGTAATAATTGCTCTTTTTGGTTACCTCTGCAGTGAGATTAGATCGTAACTAGGGAATATTTTAAGTCTGCATGTCTGCAAAATTAACATAATTATAAAACATATAAAATGTTTAGTGATTATTTATTTATTATATGAAAAATTATTTTAGGAAATCAAATTTTAGATCAACTGCTATGTTATCATTGTACCTAATGACCAATACTTAATATTGTAACGTAAGGTAAATTAATTACAAACAAAAATCAATGATATTTTGTTTGTCCATTGCATACATAAAGAAATGTATTGTTTTCTATGCAAAATTTGTAGCAACAATAAACACAAATATGTTTTACTAGTTAAAAGTTAACTCAATTTTACTATACGTATACGTATTACTGTATTAACTAATGAAGTTATACGTTTATAAATCGTAACTAGATAAATAATAATGCTCGTTTTTACCTATGTGCGTTATTTTACACTTTTTCACCTATATATTATAATATAATAACAAATTTTCGCTTATGCTATCAACGCAAAAAAAAAAATCAAGCAATAAATTAAAAATATTACATCATTTTTATTTATATTTCAATCATACAATTAATATTTAATTAAACAAGGCAAGAAATACAGGGCACTAGAAATGACTGAATATTACATAAGATTAACATATTATTATTTAAATTACATAAAAATAAAACTTACTAAATATTATAATAGTTGTCTGTTCGACTATACTTTAACATTATAAACAAGTGGAAAGTTGCAAAGTGTACAGTCAAACAATTCGCTCAGATAATGGAGCTACGATTTTGCATACAACCGTTTTGTAACTATTTTTTAATTTTTTTTTTTTCATATGACTCGTACCTATCATAATTAGCATAGGTGCACAGTATAGTTTATAGGCATTATATTAATTAAAATACAATAAAATAACAAAAAAGTTGAGAAAATAGGTTACAGATTTATATATACCAATACCATATAACATAATTATACACAATAACGAAGACCTGAAGAGTTTAACCAAACTGTACATTTAAATTTCTGTCATTACATACCACGATATTKTTTATTATTTGTTTAACCTCCTTGCCTCGCAGCAATATATTATACATTTCACGCACGATAGTCGTACCTTCACGACGTAATCATTATAATAATTCATAAATACGTTATATCTATACAATTTAATATACGATGTGTAATCTATAGTAAAAATTAATGAAATTAAATTGATTTTGACTAACGGTCGCACTGTCGCGATGGATTGGACAAGTATATTAACAATCATTATCGTCATCGCGTCCTGTCAAAATACGACGACAGACGACCGCATGTGCTCATATAATAGTAATAATAATAACAATAATTATTATACTAAATATAATAATAATAATAAGAATAATAATAATAATAATAATAATAATGTACAACTGCAACTCTATGGGCTCTAATGCCTATGTGATAATACATTATAAACGAGAAATTGTCACATCGCAGATGAACACAATGGGAATTTAATTCATTTTTTTTTTTTTTTTTTTTTTTTTTTTTTGAGCTATTATTGAAGTTGCGTGAAACAAAATATTCATAAATAATAATAATAGTAACGTCTTGAAACATCTCGAAACGTCTTGAAATGTTAGAAAAATGTGCACAAATAAAAGTGATACTATTATCGTAACTGTATTCAGGGAATCAGAAAATGAGTCAGTCAAAAACCTAGGTGGTTGTTGGAAATAAAAACGGATGATGTCGAGGTCGGTGCGCAATTGAATGATTTTCGGGTTTGGTCGGTTACACAATATTGTACCTACACTGTAATTTATCTATATTATATTATTCGGGTATTAAATTATTATTTTGCGCGTCTTTGGTTCGGTTTTAGTTGATATGTGCGGCGTGACCTATCCGCGRATGGCGACATGGGTGGTTTTGCAGTGGTTTTAGTGTATGGGAGTAGGTCCGTGGGATGGGAAAGTTGTGAACATATTTTATCACGTGTTTGCCGACTTGGACACAAACGCCCTGTTGCGAAATGAATCGTCAGACAAGAAGGCGCTACCAGCTGTTCCGTTGACAGGTGGTCGTGAGTAAATCTCGTCGCAAGCATCAATGTCCGTGACGGCGGGCAGGAAACACGGCGTCGACGTCAGATTGGCCCAGAACGATTTGTTCGACGCGGGTTTCGGCAATTCTACGGGCCGGTTGTTTGCCCGGTTGTCGTCGTCCTTCTTCTTTTGAGCCACCTTCTCCTTATCCTCCTGCGCAAGACGTTCGAAATAAATTTTGAATTTCTCAATAATACAATGATTATATTTATTGCAAACTACGTTTTGGATATTAACACTCAGAGCTGAGTGGACTTAGTGTTGCAGAGCGCGCATACTGTATCCAATCAAACGATATATTGACTAGTAGAAACAATTTATAAATACTTTTAGTGAGTTGATTAACTTTTAGAGGTTTTCCGAAATTAAAAATATTATGTCTAGTCGAAATTTAAAAAACTTTAAAAGCCTTCGTTTGAGCCACAACATAACGTTGAACGGTTGTATAAATATAGGATCCATATATCCAATATAGGATCAAGTTGGATCACATATGATAGCATAGCACTCCAAATGATTCCCTTGATCCTTTTTCCAAGATCCTATAAAGGTTAAGTTAGTCAAAATGTTCCTTTTTGCTCGAAATTATTGTGTTTAAAAAAAACATATTAGAATAACTCTGAGTGTACTTAAGGGTATCATTTTTTATCGTTAGAATTTTCCCATAGTTATCTCGACTTACCCTTTTCTTGTACGATTGTTGATAGAAGTTATAGAACAGAATGTAGAACATGACAGCGTGCAGCAATATGATCCAAGCGAATGCCTTCGGGTAATCGCATTCAATGAACAGCAACTGGGATGCGTGGACGAACACCATAACGAATTGGATCTGAAACACGGATATAACAACGTTGAAAATATTATTGCCCTGAGTTTTGTACTCCATATACAGCCTCCAGCCATATGCTACAGGTTGTGAGTTGTGAGGCACGCATAAAAATATTATAATATTATTATTGTACCATTTGGAGCACAGTCAAGTATTTCTTCCACCAGAGGTACTTTTGCATTTGTGGTCCAATGGCAGCCAACATGTAATACGTGTACATGATGATGTGCACGAACGTGTTAAGCAGTCCGAAAAATGTGCTGTGACCACCTATGAATGAAATAGTTTAAAATAATGTGATTTAAATTGAATTACGACGAGGTCCATCTGGTAGCGATACTCACCAGGCGTGAACTTGACGCCGAACCACACGCTTAACGGCATGATTCCGTGGTGAATGACGTGCAGGGTAGATACTTGATCGTATTTCTTACGCATAACGAAAAAGAACTACACACAAAAACATACCATTAACATTTATTAATACGGTTTTATCATTTGAATATCGTTGGTTTATTTACTTACGGTATCGAAGAATTCCGTGAATTTAGAAAAGTAATACCACCAGCAGCCTCGAGCTATCTACAAATAAAAATTGGAACGTTTAAGACGGCATTTTGGATAGGCAATTTCGTAACACTTAAGTGCATAATGGTCGCATAATCTACATCGCGACGAAAATTAAATATAATTACAAATTAATATTGAAATATATTATAACGTGTCTTTTAAACAACGCAGATTTTGAATTAGCCGTAATCTTTATCTCAATATGGGAAAATAACATTTTTATTTCATTTTTTTTTTTAAACTCATCTCAATTTGATGAACAATTATATTTTTTTTCAAGTAATATTTTTATTTTTTATTATTCATTTTTATGTACAGAGTGTTCCTTGAACTTAACTGGTTTTAAAAAATTAATGACGGCATGCATCATGCAATGCGACATGATGGAAAATGGATTGAATTCAATATCAACACTCGATCCTCAATAATGAAGCGATCTGTGACTACAGTTAAAAAAAAATAAAATATAAAAACACTGATTATCTTTATCTATATCTGAAATAATATCCATAGAACATATTATACTGTTGAAAAAACATGTTTGGTAGATGTAGTTTTGGCAACTGAAAGAATTAGCTTTAATACTAGATAATAGAAGTAATGATAACAGCAATCGTATATTCAATATTGTACGTCAGATGGATTCGTCACTAATGCACATGTGAACTATGATTCGGTGCTTCGATGCATCTTAGTAAGATGTGATCTATTTTTAACACGTTAAACTACTACTATGTTCTGTTTATTAGTACTTCTAAACTTTTAAGTCCGTGATGATAACTGACAACGAAAAAGAGAAAAACGATGTTTCTAACATAATGGCAAGACCGAAATAGTGAATGGTTTAAAACTAGACATAATAATAATGATTATAGACAGCGAATCCCTCATACCCTATCGTAGTTAGCACAGGGTCAACATTGTTAAAAAGATTTAATTAATACTAGTGCATGTGATGAGACAAAGTTGTATGATGTAATAATATGTTTCTATCAATGCTCTCACCAAACATAAGGGAAAAAAATAAACTCTACGCTCAATTCGTATGTATTAGGTATGTAATATGCTGATGTTTAAAACATAGGCGTTTTTTTTCCGATCACTGTTTATTAAATTAATATTATGTTATATCGATGGTCTTACTCTCATAGCGGCCGGGGATGTCGAGTAATCAACAGGTTCGCATCGAAGACTGTAACCGTTGCCCCATGCACCGTCCCATGCTTCGAAGAAGATCCACGAGGAGAATATGACTTGCAGTAAATTATAAACGATTAATGTTTTTCGCAGTTGGAATGGTTTACGGTCTCTCATCAACCACGGTCCCAAATACTTGACGATGAATGCATATGACAGGCACATGGCCATGGTAGGTAAAGGACTGCTCATAAGGAACCAGTCTTTAACCCTTTTGTCTAAACATAAAAAAAAATGCACAGTAAGTTCTCTAGATATTAAAGATATTAAATTTATTTTTCTTGGCAACATTTAAAAAAAACGAAATTAATCAGCATTTCCTAATCAGTAATCCAAATAAACTGTAACTATATAATCACGATGAATTTAATAACTATTTATTAAGGATATAGTAATTCGTATCAACCGAGTATGATTAAAACCAAATTATGACCAATTTGGTCTAGTCAAAAGTTTCGAATCAATGTTTAAATGTTATTTTGTAGAAGACATAAATTTACCTACTGTAATCATGTACAGAAATACGTACGTAGATATTATTATGATTAAGATAGTTATTCATTTAATAATATTAAAATATTCAACAATTTTCTTTTTAATGAAATGCTTTTTAAAATCGTTTTAATTATAACACATAAAATTAAAATTACTTACCACTGTAATCGTTCATTAGGGTGTTGTACCCTTCGATTACAGTGTTCAACATCTTGGCGATTGTATCAATATCCTACGTATGTGTATTCAACCTATATAAAACAAAAAACAAAACAAATTTAGTAAACTGATTTTAATTATTCACTATTTATTGTGATTAACAAGGTTTGATTTGCATGATATAATATAAATTATAAATTATTATTTATATTAGGTATTCAATTAGTAATTTCGATATTTTCACATGGCCATATTATTTAGTGATTTTCTGATACCATAAAACAGTCTTTTAATACCAAATACATAAAGTTACACATATAAAATATCCATAATATATTTTACAATAACAATTAAGTATATTGTATTTATTATGAATACTTATAACATAATCATTTTGGGAAACAATAAATTAATTTTTGACATTTCATCACGCTCTAAATGCAAATAGCAAAATGTAGTATGTACAGTATGTAAAGACTAGTTAATGTACAATGCATTCATAATAGTACATATGATATTATTTTATATTCRTTAACACTGTTAAAAAACTACTCAAGGTTAAAATAAGCAACCGTTTTCTGTTATATATTGTACATTATACGTCAAATGTGAAACACGATTCCGATGATAAGCTAATGACAGTTGATAATAAAATAATATATTTCAATAAATATTATTAACGTGTTGATTAAGAATAGATAAAAAAATGTTTACTCATATTATTTTATTGTGTTATAATATTATTAGTAGGTGTCTGATTACAAAACTAGTATAATCTAAACTATTTCTATGAGCGTATTTTCTGGACAATACAATATCGACATTTCGGTAGGCATTTATCTCCATTCAAAGAATAATAATAATAATAGTAAAAAAAATCACAATCGCATTGTAGAATTTCGTTATGAAATATCGGATTCGGGCAGAAATCGACGAAAGTATTGCACTTCGGTGTGCCAGACGAATACAAACAATACCCAGGTAGGAGGTACGATCACCGGATGACAAACTGGCTATATTATAGTGTGATATAATAATAAATATATTATAATTAATATGTGGCACACACGACCGCCACACCATCGATAAAAAAATGATCATTCGTTATTGTTATTATTATTATTATGCGCGTACTCTCTCCTGCACGCCGAGGCGGTCTTATGTGTGTGGATTTTCAACACGGTCGTCGTCGTTACGAAAGTACGGATTCGCGGGTTTTTTCCACTCTCCGYCCCCACCAAATTACTCATTTAGCCCACCAAACGCCCCTCGAATTCGTATAACAATATTATAATAACGAGTATATTATTATTCCGCACGATCGATTGTCGACGCAATCGTACCATACTAATATTATCATATTATTATTATTATAAAATAAATAAGTCATGATTTAAGTATTATATATACATATGGTATATTTCTGACACTAAAAAATCATCTTTGTGATGAAATTTTATACTATTATTATTATTATTATAATGATTTTGACGGTCCGCAAAATATTTTATTTCGGGTTGGCCTTGGATGGAATAACGAATGTGTGCAAAATGAACGTTATTATATTAGTTTATTATGATGAAGAACTGTATGTACTGTGTGGTGGTAGAGAAGAATGAAAAAAAAGTCACCAGGCGATTCGTGTTTATCGTATACAGTTGATGATTGCACAATCGTCCAAGGTAGGTACTTGTAAGCAAAGTAGACAAGCAAGAAAGTATACCTATTTTAAGCCGTACTGTATATTAATAGAATGCAAAATAAAAATATTATAATGCATAAATAGTTGCAGGTAATGTGCTGCACCGGATTAGGTTTAATAAAAATTCGTGCGGTACGCTTCGCCGCGCTGTCATGAATATTCCGTTCGTAATAAGATATAAATTATTGCGCCTCTAAACAGGTGGTAATTTGCTACGYATTATATCATTATTCTATYCAAAAAAGAAGATAAGTGCGCGTTGTGTTTCTCAAAAGTTTTAGAAAAATATAAAACGACTTTTCGCGATTCCTCCAGTTATCATGTTKATACTATTTATTTTAACGGAACGATGAATTTATTGATGTTATAATGATGGAAGTTTTTTAATCTCGAGTCTTATGATACCTTTACTATAGAAAAAAAATATTCAAATCATCATCTTCGATGAGAGATGTTTATTGTAGCAAATTGTATTTTGGTGGATTAGATAAGTAAAAATATTTCAGTACTTTTTAAAAGTAATTTAGGGTAAAAACCAAACACTTGTTAAAATGTTTATATTATTATTAAAATAATTAGTTGGTAACCATGTTGACCATTTTTGCTCAGAATCAAATTTTATCGTAAACAATAATTTATCAATAAATTAAAATGTCGTTGAAAACCACTGATTTCAAATGAAAAGCTATTTTTTGAAAACAGAGACAATAATAATATAATCAGTCCTGTTTCCTCACATTACGTCTCTCGGTAAATTTACACCACTTACCAATACTACTTAATTATTAACTATTATAAATGCTAAGTTTGGTTATTGTAAGTATAAAAAATTTTACACACTCAAAACATTCATGAAACAATATTGTACATAGCAAATATTATCGTAATATAGACACCTATAATGATAAGAAGTTCTTCGCGTTAAAAATATAATAATATCATTATATAAGTTATACATTGAATTTCGTATCGTGGTGATAAGTTTATAGCTGATTGTAATTCTATACATGTTGGTGGTTTTTTTGTCCGTAATCTGTTTCCTAGATCGTAAGCACAACAGCAGCACGAACGTTTGATTTAAGAATTTTGTTATATACTCACATATTATCATGTGCGTATGCTATTGTGGAAATTGGACTATTGAATGTGTATATGTAGGTAGGCACATAGTCGTGCGCACAGGGTGAGCCATGACCTACCCTGCGAGCCGTACTCTACTTGTTACAACATATTGCGATCGGATACATTTTTATCATGAAACTTKAATAATMAAATTACAAATTACAATTTTCAATGATAACAATTAATTACATACATTGAAAAATTTAAAAACTAAATTGATAAAATATTTTAAAGTATCTTAATCATAATTAGTTTGGACCATCCTACCAAAAAGGTTTGCGCACGCCTATGGGTTGGTGCCTAAGTACATCACCACTTCGAAAAAAAAATCAGCCATTAATATTGTTTACACTTAAATACCTATGAGTTATCCAAATTATACGAACTTGTATTAAAATCTTAATATCTATGTATATAGTCCACATTTTATTACCATGACAACCAGCCTGTTCCGTATTTCTGCTATTAATTCAATGAATTGAATTCTACATCAGAATWATAGATGCCTATATATCCCGTATTAATACCGGAAGCGTGTACGGATCTTAACGAAAAACTTTTCACGTGACGTTTTTTTCCTTTTTACAAAAGTGATAATAATCAAAATCCGTCTCACAAAAATATTACATGTGACAGATATAGGATAACGGGAAATGGACCAAAAACCCACACCTACCCATTCGAGCGTAACGTCAAATACTGCTGCAGCGTAARCGAAAAAGCCTAAACGTAAGAGGTTCTTCGATCGCGATGAGAAAAAAAAAATGTTAAATTATTAAATGTTATTCACGCGTTATACAATGAATTTTATGGTGTGGTGAAAATTAAATCTTATATTTTTTCTATATAGTTTATTAAGACTTCAACAACACAAATTTTTAGYYTACTTTAATCAAATATTAAACAATAAATCTTATTATAATACCCGTTGGTGGTTGTTTTTCGTTTGCAGTCCGGTCCGAGATTGAAATCACTACTACAGAACTATAGCACAACGCGTTCGTTTTTAAACGTTATATACTCGCACATAATTATTTTTTACATACCAACTCTTATAGTAAATCATTAAATTATACAGATATTCAGATGTAGTATAGTAAATACAYCACAATCAAGTAAAAAATTTAAGCAAAATAGGATATATTAACTTAGAGTAAAAATCAATGTTAACGTTTCGTGAGATATAAAAATAATATATTTCTGGCTGCGGTATAAGCACACATTACTCGTTTAAATTCAGTGTGGTATAATCTGTCACGCTTACTACGACGGTTTTGTATACCTACCTGTACAATAACATGCAAATGAAACCGCGTAGTAGGTAAACGCTAAAGCTGGGCTCACAATACGGTCGAGTGCCATTTATCGTATTCTGATTGGTTGTCGTAATCGTGGTACCATATTCACTAAACATGATCTACAGGGAAATTTCCAGAGTAGCTTTTGTGAACCCACATATACAAATACATATGTGTGTGTGTTGATTTTCAGTAGTTTTGGATATCTGGAGACATTCTGTCGATAGTACAACAATTAACTACCTACAGGTAATAAAATAGTATCACGGTAAATACCTCCCTATTACCATGAATCCGGACGTTGTCGCACATAACACCGAGGTAGGTTCAATCAAGATCCACGAGTGAAAAACGATTGACCACGTACACGGTAAACGGTTCGAAAACTGTACCTACATAACATAACACTATAGTCGGTGTGAAGTCTCAAGTCACGGTATGTCTGAGTATCTACACTCGGCTATGAGATGTTTTGATAAAATAATATGTGTCCGCGTAGAAAACGACGGTAAATACACGTATGTGACTGCGGAGAAGAAGAGTGCGTACGAAAACAAAATAATAATTATATTGTKCCGCGTAACCATTTGTATACGAGTATACTACAATAATAACAATATATGTACGCTACTGTGTACAGGATGATAATGTTGTTGAGTGTCGCTCGGATCTCGATGCTCCTAAAACCCACAACACAAATACCGACTTGACAAACACTATTTTATAATAATAATAACCCCATCCCTTCACGGTTCTAACCACGGAGAATGTTTACGTTACGGGGTTAGACGGTTAGAGTTAAGGAATWTTAAGCGGTGTCTTGCAATAATTATAATATTTTAAGCACCCCGTATACATGCATAATATATAATAATATATTCGGTATACTAGCTATACTATGGTGTATACTGTACAGTGTACGATCACATACTTAAACAGTGATAAATAGAAGAAGAATCAAACGTAGTAAACAACGTGTAATATTATTGTGCAGTAGGTACAATCGACTCTCTATGATTCCAAGTTTGAAGGACCTATGAAAAAATTCGAATCACCGAGAGACCAGAGTTTAAAAATATATATATATATTAAATAGGGTTAGGGACTTCTAGCTCTAAAAAACATAAACAAGCAATAATATTATCACGCATAATAAAACAACCAAACCTACACCAAAAAGACACTACTCAGATACATACAACTAAAAAAAAAGAATGTAGGTTTGTATTTTATAAACAAATAAATATTTTTAAATAAAAAATGTATGGACAATTAATTTTTTTCAGAATGAAAATAAGCACTAAAATGCTAGATAATGCGTATTCAAGCAAAGCCTTATAGAATTGTGTGCAATTTATAAGAATTATGTGTAGGTAATTCGGTTCAATAATCTTATAAAATAGTAGGTACATTAATCGCGACCTCTAAGTAGTGCAGAGACAACTTGTACTATCTATAATATGCTYGGAAAAAAATAAAAACCGGACAAATTCAAGTTTCGTCGCTGCAGATTCCGATCGATATCAGGTACTATACTGTAAAATACCTTTGTTTTTCCTTATTATTGCTCGTTCATACTATTCACAAATAGGTATAATAATAACAAACAACTGTGACGCTTATATTACTGTGTTTGTCCACACGTTACACAGACTTCCAGTTAGACTTCTTGACGGACGGCCTTGTACCACAATACAATAATTATTAATATCTAGTTTGCCCTGGTACAAGCCGATACTAGATCCAGCACGTGACTGCTTGCAGAAAATTACTACAGTATTATCACGTGTATCGTGTTGTCTTTTTAGCGGAAGACTATCGCGATGGTCGCAATTATACATTGGTGAATTTAACTCGATAAAAGGTGGCAAGCTGTTCTCTCACACCCATCGTGGGTGTTAGCCTCTGCAGTGCGTGAACCCACTGCATGATGTACAGTTATCAATCATTATGGTATGACCGTAATGGGTGATAGGGTGTCTTTAGCGCCGCAAAAATCAGAGTTATTAGTTCTCAGTTTCGCCGCTTCATTCAATCGCCACTTAACGCTAGTGATTYGCATTTGTGTTTAACACGTTTCAGTCTGGTTTATATTATATAGCTATACAATTAAGCTATAAGTATAATCTTTCAACTAATCGCAAATAACGAGATTAATGGCGAAAGATGCTTGAACAGAATATTCATCATATATCTATATAGTAATAATGATCTCAGCACTGCGTACCTAGTTACCTACATATATTATGCGATTCAATTATTTGAAAAATGCAGGTTTTCGTCATCTAAAAAGCGATCAAAATGTATCTACCATTTCAATACAGTATTATTAAAAACTAAATAGTATGTCGTATAAATTATAAYTTTTGTTTTTTTTTTATTAAACCACCATGTGAGAGATAACTGTTTGCATATTACTTACATCCAGACATATAAATTACAACTAATAATGCATATTAGAATAAAATATATTATATAATAGTAGCTACCTATTATGGTACGGGACCTATATCAAATATGTATGTTAGTGTGTTAGTATGTCATTTCACATGATATWTATGAATTGTATAAAATGTTTATGATATTTTAATTAATACCAAGTGATCCGTTTAACGTAAGAAACTTATTATTTTAAAAACTTCTAAGTTAAAAAATATTTTTTTATCATTAAAAAAAATTATCACACCATGCATTTTTAATCTTTTATTTCAAAGTAAAATATATATTGARTACTTAAAATCGAGTTTTTAACGATTGAGTACCTAATTTAAAAGTTGTAAGTAATTAAAGTTTAGTAGAGTGGTTAGTATGAAGGAGGAAGAAACCCGGTATCCCTCATATTGATTCATTATATTCAACGTATCCTTATCTAAACCTTAAGTACTTATAACTGATAAACTATTTTAATTTTATGCATCAAAATAATGTTCTCTYTAGAATAYGAAATTAAAAATGTATTTAATCATTCAAAAGAGTCAAAAACTAAAAACAGTAAGAAATATGATTATTTCCAAAAATTTTGYTTTGTGACGACTAAAAATGAATATCTAAAGACATTCAACAATAACGGCAGTGTTTTTGAAATTATAAGTATCTCACGTTAAATGGTATAATATTAGGGAMAAAAACTAAAAAATATTTTTTTAGATACTACAGTGTCTACAGTGTCTTAACATCTCTATAAATGCAATATACATTGCACATTTAATTTTTAGGTGGTAAAATTTAAAAACTGATGCCATAAGACTTTCCTATTATACTAGAAGTATCTAAAAGCATGGCTTGTGAACATTATCTATTATTTTGTCTAACACTTCTCAGAAACGACCTATATAGGTATATTATAATAATAGCACTTTAAATGCATTTATGAAAACTAATTACGCTTTATTTTTTTTAGTGAAATAACAATTAAATTRGTTTTGTTATTATTTTCATAACTACTTTAAAATCTACGTCTTACGTAGAAAAAAACACAATTTTAATTACTTTTAGATCAAGGGCGTACACGTGATGATATTATTAGTATAGCAAACATATTAGCTACTTAATCTATCCTCGAAAAAAAAAGTTTATTAGGTCCTTGCACCTTGACTGCTACCAAAGTCAATCGTAATATCGCTATTGATATTTAGTATAAGAAGATACATACTATTTATACATATTTTAACATGTTACATTTTTCAGCAATTTGTTGTTGATGTATAATTTCCATTCGTGTTTATAATAGTGTACCTATATCGGTTTAGTTTTAGTCCGCATTCAATAATCCACGTGACCATATAGAATGCAAATTTTCGGATATTATAAACTGCCATTTCAATGAAATCACACCAACTATGTATATATATATAATTTGTGTTTTTTGTTTTAATCACATATTATTATTAATAAGTATTTTAATATGGTTCACCTAAGTAAATCAATCACTGCGTGTAAAAATTCTTAAATTCAACCTATCCAGTATCTTGGCAGTTTAACATAAATACATTCTTAAGATCAAACCACCAATGTTTTAAATCTAAACAAACTGTTATCAATAAAATATAAATTTTACTTTGGAATTTTTAATTGATTAATTTTTAATAAAATAAGAATTTATTTTAAAAGATTCATTGTATTATTAAGTTTAATTGTAAAATAAAAACTCTTGATAATATTTTATAGTTTATTTTTCCATTGTGAATAATAAAATTGTATTTTTTGCTATATTTTTTTATTATTATTATTWTTTTTTATATGCACACGTGGAAAAATGACAAGACATATTATTAGTATCAAATTTGGTATGGTTTCCAAACGTGCATTGTTTGTTTCGAGATTGTTGGTCACAGTAGGAGATGAAGAAGAATCCAAATAATTGGGYCAAGTGATCCATTAGCTACTATGCATGTTATGTTTATTTTGATTTTCACATTCATTGGAGATACAATCAACTTGAATTAATTATGAATTWATTTGTTTACTACACTGTTTATTAAAACAGCTTGCAATATATCATATATATCGAATAATCATATATTTTAGACTCTTAAATACCAATAATATCAAATTTAAAAAAGTAGGCACGTGTAATTTGTTTACCTAAAATATTATTGGCCATTCTTTTACTTAAGTTGTTTTGGCTGTCATATTAATTCAATGTTTTTTCAYGATAACTGCAAAAGAAATTATCCGTTATAACAAYAGGGACAATTTACTTCTGAACACCGGAAAACTGTTATATCAATAATTATTTTACCTTAATATTTGAAAACATTTACGGCACGTTACCCGCAATGACCTCTATTCGACTCTAATACTTCACATGTAGATTTATATATAATATATTAATACACCCATCAAACGATCAATTATTGTATATTTTATCCTGCATTTTTTTTTTGGAAATATCGTAAGTGTTGTAGTTTTCAGATAATAACATTATATTATTATAAATCT